CTTGAAGAAAGTGGAAGAGTTGGTAAGTGGTGGGGGGGAAGGAGGTTCAGCTTGAGAAAGCTGGGTGATGATGGAATCGAGCTTAGAGTTAAGTTCGTTCTGAGAGTTGGTGAGGATATGGTTAGATTTTGGGTGAGGCGGAGGATGGCTTCGTCAATGGTCTTGGAACGGGTGTTGTGTTCAGCCATGGAAATGAGCTCAACGAAAGCACCAAATTGTTAGGGATAGAGAATTGCCTTGGTTTCGAGGACAAGGGACCTCCTAGAAGAATAGAGAGAGAAAAGGAAAATGTTTTTTTTTTCTTACCCTTTTCATTCCTTTCTTCTGTATTTAACAATACTCAGCCATCAAATGATTGGCGTAACAGAAAATATCACATACTAGAAAGGGAATCTCTAACAGAAATTACAACTCAGCAAAGAAAGATCACATACTAGAAAGGGAATCTCTAACAGAAATTACAACTCAGCAAAAAAAGAAATACTAAATCACTTAGAGATATTGTTATTTGGTGACGTAGTCACAAAGGTAAGTGGGTTGCTTGTGTCCTCTTTTGGGCCTCTTTTCCACTGTGCTAAGGGCCCCATCTGCCTCTCCAGGGTCATTGCTATCACATTCACTGTTTAGAAATCTAACATAATTTGACACAAGAAAAAAACAAATAATTGACACTAGAAGTTTTACATGTTTACCTGATTTAATTTTAATTCACATAGGTTTATTGTTTATTTAATTTTTTTCTTTTTAAGTGTTATTAAAAAAAAATCATTCAAACATAATCCTAATTGTTTGAAGTTATTTATTGGTAAGAAGGGATGCAATAAAGGAGATTTTTCTTTTGTATATAAAAGAAAAAATAATGATGAAAGACATTGATTAATTAACTTATTAATAACTAAAACCAATATATTTTAAGTTTTAAACTAATGATCAATTTTAGAAACTAAAAGGGAGATTATAATAATTTGAATTGAATCATAGTTTTCTCATGTCTAAATTTTAATTATGAGATGTTTACCTAGATTTGACAAGAAGATTATATATGAAATGTAAATTTATTTTACATAAGAAAATTTGTGTAATTATCAATATAAAACATGATTTTTACAGAGTTTATATTTGTTAATTCTGCTTAAGTGGACAATGCGACAGAGAAAAGTCATAATATTTCAAAAATAAAGTTGTTATCGGAAGAGTAAAATCTCAACTAAAAGTTTACATTATTTAATTATAAAAAAAAAACTATCCTTAAGATGATATAATGAAATTGATTGGTATTTTTTTTCAAAAATATCATCAAAATATATAAATAAATTCACGTAAAATATTATCCTTTATTAATTAATTAGTAAAATATAAGTCATAAAATATTTTTATGATTAGTTTATTTTAAAAATTTGTTTTTTAAAATATACTTATTTTATTTATTTATTCATTAATTTATTCCATTTTTTTATTTTTTAACATATAAATTATAATAGTTAATTTTTTATATTATTTTTTAGTTTTTATAAATTATAATATATATATATATATATATATATATATATAACTTTTTTCCATGACACTGAGAGAAAGAGATAGATAATAAATAAATAAATTAATAATAAATAATGTAAAATATATATATATATATATATATATATATATATATATATATATATATATATATAATATATATAAAAGAGAGAGAAAGAGTGGGGAAGAGAGAGAGAGGACGTGGTCAAGTTAGTGGGAACAGAGACAATAACTGCCATGCATAACCGTAAATCCTACAGAACATATAACATATAACTTGACATGTAGAACATTAACATAGTAGTGTGAAAAGTAGTTCGTAAAAACACAGAAAAGTTTGTTTCTTTTGTGTTTTGTGCTATGCATGTGAGAAAAATGCACGGAAAAAAGGAGCAAGAAGAGTATATAAGGAAAGGGCCATGGAAAGCAGAAGAAGATGAGGTGCTACTGAACCATGTGAAGAAGTGTGGTCCCAGAGATTGGAGCTCCATTCGATCCAAGGGTCTTCTTCAAAGGACTGGCAAATCGTGTCGTCTTCGTTGGGTCAACAAGCTTCGACCAAACCTCAAGAAGTGAGTCAACAATATCTTTACTTTCTCTTTATTCTGTGCATATATCATGTATGATTGTTACAACAGTTTAAAATTGCATTAGTAACATAAAGGTTTTTCAACTTATTGTAATTGTAATGGCAGCATCAGCCATATTTTGTTAAAATATCAAGGAAACCAACCATGGTTGTTGCTTCTACACTTGTTTGTTTGATGAAAAGTTACAAGGATGGGGTTGCTTATCGTTGGTCCTATCTTTGGATTATACATTGATTTTAAACTTATATATTACATTATGGGATTTGCATAACTTATGTATTGGCTTTCATGTTTTGCTAGAAGTTGGTTGATGTCGTGTGTCCAACTACAATTACACTAATGGGGTTGCTTGATTGGTCTCGAATGCCTTCTTTTTATGGTGTTTTTAGTTTCTGAAAAGCCAATTTTGCTTTCTTCATTTTAAAACCGTAAGTTCTTGATGTATTTTATCCAAACTTTAGGTCTTAAAGGTAACACTGCAAGGGATGAAAACTTATTATTCTAAGTTTGCAAAAAAATAATTTGATGCCTTTTATCTGATTGTTGTCTTTTGTGTATCTCTTGGCCTCTCATAGTGGTTGCAAGTTTTCACTTGAGGAAGAGAGGATTGTGATAGAGTTGCAGGCACAACTTGGGAACAGGTGGGCTAAGATTGCTTCCTATTTGGCAGGGAGAACAGACAATGATGTGAAAAATTTCTGGAGCAGTAGGCAAAAGAGATTGGCCAGGATTCTGCACACATCAGCAACAACTCCCAAATCACAGAAAAATAAAACTAAAGTTCCTACATTTCTTGATGTTCCAACTTTGAAGGTAATTAGACCGAAACGTTCCTCTATTTCCAGTCTTTTATATACTTCTATCGTTCTGTTTTTTTTCCTTATTCTATAGAATTCAGTATTGATGAATAGGAAAATATATGGAACTGAAATTTGTACACTAAATCAGTTCCAAGATATGTTTATTCCACTGAAAAAGGTAAGATTCTACTTAATGTAATGTATTTACTACAATACAGATAACCATAACCAAGACATAACAGAAAATGTGACAGACCAAAGAAAATTTCAAGAACTAGATTGTCCTGTTGACAGTTTAATTATTGCTATTTACTAAGCTGGCATTGTATCAGTTTTTTTAACCTTGATGTTACTCTATGCGTATTCCGCTACATCTATTCCTTCCATTGCAGATGCCCCAACTTCTTAGAACTTCATTTTCCCAGATAATGCATCAGTAGGCTAAGAAAAATGAGTAAAATGTTCAATGTGGCTGTGTACTTTTCGCTTCTGCGATTTGTTTAGGTGGGCATAACATATATTTGTTGAATTGTATAGGCTCCAAAGTTCAGTTCATCCTCAGAGGGAGAGTCATTATCAAATTCTCATTCATGCGCAGTACCCTTGATTGAGAATTCTGAGGTTATCAAAATGGTGTCTTTACCAGATCTCATAAAGTCTGAGTTACCTAGTTTTGACACACTCAATGTTGAACAAGAGTTTACCCTTTTTGAGAGCTATAAAAGCATTGACCAGAATCAACAGATTTCCTTTCCTCAGATTCCAGAACTCCAAAATGATCTCAAATTCCCATTGGGAAACCAAGATGTCTTGGCCAGAATTGATGAGTCATGTTTCATTGAAGACTTTTGTGCTTTTGATGCATATGAGTTTGGAATAGGTTCACAACACCCCATTGGGTTACCTTTCTTTGAGCCACCAGGAAGTTTCAGCACTGGGACGAGGGATGGCATTGATAATTTCAAAAGCAGTGACAGCTTCTTCGATGACTTCCCTACGGACATATTTGATCACATGGACCCACCTGCAAGCCCTTCAAACTTATGACTTTTGTGGCCATTGTCGTTATTCCATACCCTGTGTTGTTGTGTTTCAGTCTTTTGTAATTGCAGGCTAAAAATTATGTCATACTTAGAACTTGGTCATACATTGCTATTTGAAATTATTGATACTGATGTCATTCGTAGGATAATCAAACAGACATTGCTTTGTCATATTGCTGGTCTTTCTGAGGGCCAAATTGTTATAGTGTGTGGACCTGAGTTGTTTCGAGTAATTACTACTAGTCATATGATCTTCGTAAAATTATATGTTGCATTGATCATTTTTGCTAATATGTTAATTAATTATTAATTGAATTGATATTCACTTGCCATCTGAACAAATGTCCTCTATTTACATATAAATTTTTGGTAAAGAATTTGGAGAAATTCACTGAAAGGGTGCCAACATTTTTGGGACCTGTTAATTAAGTCCTAATTATTAGAGGTTAGTTTCGCTTCAGTTCCTTTCCAGGTTTACCACGTCTTTTGGAGAATTAAACGTGGTTGTTATCTTTTGACTTTTTTTCCTGTTTTGTTTCCGTTTTAGAATTTTAAGCATCCAACTTTAGCTTCTTAGGCTTGTAAACCAAGCCTAAACGGTTCAATTGGAAAAAAAAAACATCAATAATTGGAATCACACAAAATTAAACAAATACTGGTGTGCTTCATAAAATGGTGAAAATATTAACAAACTCTTTCTTCTCTTCTTTCCAAAATAAAATTTTATATTTATAACACACAAATAAAAAGGATTTTCTCATAAGGAGAATTGTCTAATAGACCATCCATCACCATTGAGTTCAATCATCAACCAAAATTTCAGTAAATTCATATAATGTATCCATCACCTTATTCTGATTATAATGGGATGAGTAAAGCCCTACTACTGTTTCTTTTCATCCTATGTTTACCATTCAATCGAGTGAAGAATAATGGTGTTTACATTTTCCTATAAATCAAGCTTTCTAATGCAGAAGTCTTTGGAGAACTCAAACATAAAGTAGCCACAGTAGTAAGCAAGAATCAGGCCTCAGAGGTGTAGATGGCCATTATTGTGCAGTTTTGATTTGGGTGTATTTTACACCAGTTTGACCATTGTGAACAAGAGCTTCAAATTCTCCAGCAGTGAATGATTGATCTTTCTTGAAAATTGGGCGTCTGAGTTGGACGTATCCACAGTAATCAACTTCATACACTTCAACCCCCTTTACGAAAGAAGAATATGCCACTCCAACTCCTTCCCCTACAAAAGATGCAATCTAATTAGATTTCAGTTTGCAAAAGTCTATTGCCCACTTCAAAACAGACAACCTTCTTCATTCAGTGACCATTAACAGATTCAGTAAATTTCATTCTTGCACATTAATGCAACAATAAAAAAAAGACTGCATCTACAAATAGAAAGGTGTTTTTACAGATGGAATGATGAACAAGAAATTGAATATTATACCATGTGTGACAAGCAGCAAGTTCTCAGTATGATATTTGTCAGCAAGGTCTTTAACTATTTGTTTATATCTAGGCCTTGTGTGCAAGTTTGGATCTTCTTCCCACTGGGGCAACTGAAGTTCCTCAAGCAAAAAAGTTTTGATCAGCCCAAGTGACATTTGCATTCATACATATATAACTATCAAATGTGCCAAAACTTCTCAGTTGAAAATGAAGATGAAAACCACTTTACCGTTTTATAGACCCTTTCCACATTCTTATCCACTGTTCCTGCCGGAAGCATGGCCTCGATCTCGGGTATATCAAATCCCCAGTTTCCGTCTTTAGGAACTGCCTCAAGTCTGATCGCTGCCCTGCTCATCATTTCACACAAGCCATGTTCAACAGAGACCTGCAGTTGTTGACGACAGGGTTAGAATTTAATAAACTCAATAGCTGATATATGAATCTACTCAGGATTTGGAAGGCATGTTATAGGTTTAAAAAGGAGAAAATATGAAATTCATGTTACTCTTTCACCTAAAAACCTATATAATTCTATTCCTGCGTATAACACTGAACCTATGATACAAAAACATTGAGTTTTCATCACTGAACCAAAGGTTTGAATGTTAACATTTATCCATCAAAGACAAACATCCCAAACATAGAAATCAAACATAACCATTGTTTGCAGTAACATTACTGACAAATTTATTCAAACATAATTGTGTTCTGATGTAAGACAAGTTAATGCTTGTCCTTGGTAAACTGCAATAGAAGTTCCATAAACTTAATTAGAATGTACAAGTTAAATATCTATGCATCATATCATAGATATCATTAACACGATATTTAGATAATTATTATAAAACTCCTATAACTTTCCAAGACAGTATGATTAGTAATAGTTGAGCTCAGTGCAAGCACAAATCACTGTTGATCATTTATTATATGAAGAAATGATCGAATGATTGTGAAATTGAATGTCTATTAAAATTCGAATTATTTTATATTAAAAAATCGTCCCTGCTGATCGATAATCCGAATTTGACCAAAAAAATAAAGTTAAGCAGAGAGGTTGGTTTTTTTTTGCTTTAAAGTCGAAATTAAATTTTATTATGTCATACTTTTTTAATTTTATTATTTTTATTGGTTATACATTAAATTTTATTTTAATAAAATAATTATATTTTAAAAGATTAAAAATAACTAATAATTTAAATTTTTATTATTTTAAACTAAATAAATAAAAATTAACTTATTAATTTTTTTATAAATTATATATTTCATATTTTTAAATGATAACTTAAAAATTAATAATTTTTATATATAATTAAATATTTCAATATAATATTATAATAATAATAACAATTATATTCTAAATATTTTATATTTATATAAAAAAATAATTAAATATTTTTTATATTCATATTATAATATAAATATAATAAATTAAAAAATATATATATTTAATTAATAATTATTATAAATTATAAATATTTATTTATATATAAAAAATACGTAAAAATTTTAAAATTAATTTATTATAAATATAATTATTTTTAAAAAAATAATATAAATCGGATAGCAAATCCCATACCTTCTAATCCCTCTCACCCGGTGCCATGCCTAGAAAAAACAGAAATAACACAAAAAAATAAAATAAACATAAAAGTTTTCATCCCAAAATTTTCTTATCAAGATCACGCAATTACTGCAACACAACAAACTAAAAGTTACAAAAACAAGCACCACATTAAACAAATGCATCAAATCAGAGTTTAGAATCTGCTTGATTATTTAGTACCTGTCAATCCAGTTTTGATCCTTAAATTTAGAAGAGATTATTCTAGTCTTTTATTATTATGTTTTTAATACGATTTCAGTCTTTAAAAACTACTGAGGACTAAAAATGGATTTGAAAGAGATAAATTTGTACTCCTTTAAACTAAAAAGGTGTTTTTTCAAGGTTAAATAATTAAAATACATTTTATAAAAGAATTAAGGATCAAATCAGGGTTCACTTCAAATTTTAGATTTGAAATAAACAATTAATCCTTAAAGTTATAATTCTATTAAACATTGATGTTCATATTCTGCAAAAGGAATAAAAAGACGAGTTTGACCTTGATTTTAGATGGATCGATGAGGACGCCATCGCCAGTGAGGTTGTTGGGACGGTCGTCGTCGCAGACGGCGGAGAGGGCGACGACGACTTCAGCGGCGGTTTGGACGCATCGGAGAAAGGGAGAGACGAAGACACGGTTGAGAGTGAAAGGTAGGATTTTTCGGAAACTGCGGCCAGTGGCGAAGGCTCGGGCCCGACCCTGTTGGATCAGGGGCGGGTCCCAGGGTCGGGTTGCGGTGGCGACCCACATCGGTTCGAAGTTGTCCATGCGATCGCCGTGACGCATTACGACGACGTTCTGGTAGAACTCTGGTGCTGCAACGCCACTTGAAGCCATTTCCGGGTTCAGCGAGAGAAAGAAAGAAAATGGAAGAAGAAAGAGAAGACGATCGATTTCCTTTGTTTCTACGTACAAAACACTTTCACAGAAAAAAAGAAGAAGCTACAACTTTATTATGTTTTCAGGGATTTTTTTAAAAATATAATTAATTATTAAAATATACTCTCTATCGTTTTATTTACCCCAATAAATAAACACGTTTATTTTAGAAGGTCAAAATTCTGTTCTGGCAAACCGAATATGAAGATTTGTCACGTGGGACATAAGTGAGAGTTTAATTTTGAACTGCGTTTTATTTTATTTTTTTCTGCGTCAGATTATTTTTTTTAATTATATTTATATATTTATATTTATCAATTCATATAATTAAATATTATTATATTTATATATATTTAAATATGATAATAATTTAATAATTATATATTTAAATATGATAATAATTTAATAATTATATATTTAAATATGATAATAATTTAATAATTATATATTTATATGTTTAGATAATTATGTATATATATATATGAATATATTTAGATATTTATATTGATATATTTTTATATATTTATATAAATATATATATATATATATATATAATTATGTAATTAAATATTTATATATGTAAATATTTATAATATATATAATTATGTAATTAAATATTTATATGTTTATATATTAACATTTATTTAATAATTATATATTTAAATTTTTATATATTAGTATATTTATAAAAATATATATCTATATAATTTGATAAGTATATATTTATATAATTAGATATTAATATATATTTATATATTACATATGTTAATAATTTTATATTTGTATATTTAAATAATAAAATTATTTGATTTGTTATGTATAAGTAATGTCGCAGCCGTCAAAAGAGGTGGTCGAACGATGCGATGGTTTTGTTTTGACTCGCGTTTTTTAAAAGATGTTACAACGTATTTAGGTTGTTCGATAACCGGGCTAGACCTAAAGGCGAGATTTTCGAAAAGGGTTCTGGAGTCGTCACCAATGTTTTATCTAGAAACATTGGAAAAGAAAGAAAAAGAATGCGTTAGTTTAAAAAAATCATATAACTAGAGTTGGGTAAGGGAGTTAGTTACGTGTAGGAAAGGTATTAGCTTCCTTACGACGCCCCTTTCGGGTTTCCTATGATGGATCGTTTATTTTATAAATAAAAACTCTAAAATTACGCTTTTACCCTTGTTTATTTATTTGCGGAATTTAAATGGTTGACTACATGGTCCTAACAGCTAATGCACAGATAAATATAATAATAAAGCGGTAAAAGAAGATAGAAAGTGTAGGAACCTTCGAAACAAGCTTTGTATTAATATTCTTGGTAAAGAAATGTCCATCTTCGAAGAGGAGGTATTATGCTCTTTATTTTGAGGCCGGGAAAGATTTGGGGTCTACAGTTGCCCCCCCTTCACCTGACTAGCCAACTGTTGGCTTGTTGTGCCAAGAAGATCGGCTGGAGGGTGAAGGAGTTAACCCTCTTGCCCAGTTGTCCTTCGGATGTTCCGTCTTGCGGTGACTGATCCTTTGGGAAAAAGTGTACACCTCCGGGATGCTCCTTCTTGCGGTAGCTGACCCTTTCAGTTGATGAGTACGAACCCCCATTTGGTTTGACGAGTATGAACCCCCGTCTGGTAAGCCCCATTTTGTAAGACTTGATGAGTACACACCCCCATCTGGTGTTTGACGTGTATGAACCCTCGTCTGGTAAGCCCCCTTTTGTAAGGCTTGATGAGTACACACTCTCATCTGGTGTTGAGTCCACTTTGTAGGACTGCTGGTGGTGGCGGCTTACTGCTCTAGCTCATGCGCCGGGTGAGAAACCTTAGGATGCTCCTTTGATGCGGTAGCTAACCCCTTGGTTGATGAGTACGAACCCTCATCAAGTTAGGTGCCTCAGGATGCTCCTTCGATATAGTAGCTTGAAAGTGATGAAGATCTTATTGAATTACTTTGGCAAAGATCTTGTTGATTTGATGAAGTCAAAATGAAGTCAAGCCAACTTTGCTGCAATCAAAGGTCACTTAGATAAAAGGGTAGTGTGATTAGTGAGTCTGCATCTTTACTTAGGTATAATCATTTTTATCTCTCTGCTGCATGAGGTTTCTTCATTTAAAAGATTTTGCAATTGCCTCTAAAAAGCGTTTAAACGGTTAAAATCAAAGTATTTTGATAAAAGGTTTTTAATTAACTATTTTAACTAATAGTATACAAGCTTTATCAACTAAAATGTTCTTAACACTTTTACAACAGGTTTTTAACCGATATGTTTTCGAAATAATCGATTGTGTTTCATTAGAAGGATTTTTGAAAACCTTCTGCCAGTATTTTAACTGATATAGAATCGAAATAATCGATTAAAATGACTTAGAATATTTTGAAAAGTGTTCTGGCAGAATTTTAATCGATACAAACTCGAAATAATCGATTAAAATAACTTGAAGTGTTTTGAAAGTTGTTCTGTCAGTATTTTAATCGATACAAATGCGAAATAATCGATTTAAACAACTAAGAGTTTTTCCCATAATGTTTTAATCGATTAAAACAAGGTTTCTATCAGTTAAAATAACTTAGAAAGTTTTATGAAATCTTTTGGCAGAATTATAATCGATTAAAATGCATTTCAATCGAGTAAAATAACTAAGTGAAATTTTTTCAAAGTGTTTTAATCGATTAAAACAGATTGTTATCAGTTAAAATCACTTAGAAAAGTTTATAAGAATGTTTTGCAGTATTTTAATTGATTGAAAGACGAAACAATTGATTAAAACAGTTTGGAAGATTTTTTACAAAGAGTTTTAATTGATATAAACGGTGTCGTATCAGTTAAAACAAATCTGGAAAATAATCAAGAACATTTTAACAGATTAAAATAAGTTTTAACAAATTAAAACAAGACTTTTAACAGATTAAAAGATTATTTTAACAGATTAAATAAACCAGCAGTTTTGAAAATCTTCTATATAAACATATTTGCTTGAACCTTTTAAAACACATCTTTTAGCAATCAATGAAGCAATCAAAAGTGCTACTTTCAAGAGAGATTCGCGTTAGTTTTTGTGAAGTTCATAAGAATTCTTTCTTGAGGCAAAATTGCATTCTTTTGGAGAAGAAACACATACTGTAGAGCTGCATAAATCTGGTTTGAGCGTTCTAAGTTTCTTCTATTTGTTTCTTTACTTTCTTTACTGTATTGTGGGTTCCTGGAATTGTGGGCACTGGTTTCTGTAGTTGGAATTTGGCTGCAGGGTTGGTCAAGAACTGGAATTTGGTTCTTGGTGAAGGTTTAGGTGCAGGAACTGGAATTGTGGTTCTTGTGGTAGATTGAGTGTGAGATTAAAGTTGTAATCGGTAAAATGTTCAATCTAGTGGAATCCAGCTGGAATTTGGCTGGAGACTGGACGTAGCCCTGAGATTGGGTGAACCAGTATAAACCTTGGTTGTATCTTTCTAAACCTTTCTCTTCTTTAATTCTGTCACTGCATTTATTTTTGATTGCTTGCTGTGTGATTCAAAAACTGGTCTGAAATCTTAATCTTTGAAATAGATAATCTGTAATTTGCGAAAATCTTTCAAAGATCAATTCACCCCCCCTCTTGATCTCAGCCTACATTTCTAACAATTGGTATCAAGAGTAAGGTTCTTGAGAGTTATTCAAGTCTTTCGATCAAAATGGCTGGAAACAAATTTTCTGAGGGTGCTTGTATTGATAGACCTCTACTATTTTGTGGTACAGATTACTCCTTTTGGAAGATTAGGATGAAGATCTTTATTGAATCTGTTGGTATAAATGTATGGAATATCATTGAACAAGGAACTTATGTTTTTAACAAAGACTGGTCTAGCTTAAATGATTGTGAAAAGAAATTAATCCAAGATGATTGTATTGCCAAGAATGTCATTATATCTGCACTTAACATAAGTGACTTTTTCAGGATAGCACATTGTCAAACTGCTGCACAAATGTGGAAAACCCTTGAAATGGCCTATGAAGAAACAACAGAGACATGCTTAATGGTCAATTCGGATTCTCCAATAACCAGTGTAAGTTCTGACTCAACAACTACTCTGAATTATAGTTCTTTACAAGATGCCTTTTATGAAATGCATGCAGTAGCTAAGATATTAGAAATTGAAAACAAAATATTAAAAAGTATGAATAGTCTATTAGAAAACAAGATCACTCTTGTTGAAAAGAAAATAGTTGATGAAGAAATCAAGAATGAAAATTTGGATATAGGTAATAACTCTGATTGCATGTGTAATGTTAAAGATTGTAAAAATTGTCCTGAGTTGCAAGAGAAATTAACATATTTAATTAAAACTGCATCTAAACTAGCACAAGGAAAGACTAGTCTTGATATGATACTTGATTCTCAAAAATTAGTTATTAACCGTGGTGGTATAGGTTTTACACCTCCCATTGGAAAGAAAACTAGAGCACTTAAAAACTATTTTGCATATAGTAAATCTGTGTCATCTCCATTTATTAAATGTTTTTACTGCATGAAAAAAGGTCATTCTGTGAAATATTGTAGAATTAAGAAATATGTTATTCCTAAAGGTAGAATGAAGTGGATACCCAAAAAGTCATTTCAAATAACATGATTGGACCCAGTAATTAAAAAGGGGTACCAGAAATATGCCTAATCTGTTTTGCAGGAACAAAATCTGGAAGTCTCTTGGTATTCAAAACAACAAGTTCGGTTCTGGATTCATGGACTGAGTATTTTAATTGATATAAAACTATTTTAATCGGTTAAAATCACTTACAGAGAATACCATAAATGCTGACCGTATAGTTTTAATCGATTGAAATACGAATTAATCAATTAAAATGTTCTCTAGAATCGAGTTTAACTGTTTTAATCGATTAAAATGGATTTATATCAGTTAAAATCATTAACAGGATAAAATTAATCGATTATTCCTCGTTTAAATCGATTATTCCTCGTTTAAATCGGTTATTATTC